TGAGTATATCAAATAAAGGAGATATGCATAAAATAATAAGAGAACTAACAGGACAAAAGCCATGCTCATCAAAAGGCAGCATAACATCTAAGGACCCATAGCTGATATAACAGAAAGAAAAAAATATTTCAGCGATGGAACGAATTTATCGTAGAACTCTTCCAAGACGAAAAAGAACAACTAGCAATATACAGAAATACTGACAGACGGAAATATTCAAAACCGAAGGGAATCCTGCACTAGCCAAAATGAACGAAATAAAATAAGCAGGGCCAGACAGATTTGTAATAGAGATTCTGGCAGTCTTAGATGATTTCAGCATTATCAATATCACAGAAATAATAATATCTACAATAGTGGTGACATACCGGAAGACCTAAGTAATAAATAAACAAATAGAACAAAGAAAAAAGATTCTGTCTATATTTCTGAGATGAGGTATTATGTACAGTATTTACATTAGTCGGACTATTGTCCTCATCTTTGTCGCCATATTTGTCACAACGTTTCGGCCGTTGTACGCTCCGGCCTTTTTCAGAACAGTCTACCCCAGTGATCGAAATAAAGGGTTCAGTTCGACATTCCAACCACCTGAAGAAGGCCGGAGCGTACAACGGCCAAAACGTTGTGACAAATATGGCGACAAAGATGAGGACAATAGTCCGACTAATGTAAATACTGTAAAGAAAAAGATATTCACAAAAAATAAATAAGGTTTATTAAAAGACACAAAATAACACTGGATTTTTAAAAACGAAATAATGAGGTATACGATACATATTAACAGAGGAACAGTACATATTTTGTATTGCATTCTTGCATAAATAAATATTATCGCTTAGAATTCCCGCTAGTTTATCTAAGCAACGAACGTAGGCGTGAAGGAAACCAAGTCCACAAATGAAAGAGCAGTAAGAAGAAGAAAAAAAAGGAAGAAAAAGTACGTAATAACTTCATTTCTAAACCACGTCGATGTACACACTATCGACCATATTTCCTATTATATTTACGTGTTAAATCTGAGTTTTTCTTTTGTTTCACACACACCAAGAGCGTCACACGACTGCAGGGCAGAGGGTTTAACGTAAGCACGGCGTCACATCTGCATTGCAAACGATAACTGCCTTGTAACGCTTGTACTGTGTCAAATTGGCAATGGGCTACACGTTCATTTTATTAAATTAGTGTCACATCACATCTGCTGCTTTAAAAAAATTTAAGCACTACAGTTTCAGAATATCTTATGTTTGATATTTCCTTTCATCCATCATTCCTTCATTTTTTTTTGTCTACTTTCTTCCCTTCTTTCTTTTCTTTTTGTCTTTATTTTTTAAATTTCTAACATTCTTTCATTTCATTTCCTGCTGTCTTTATTTCTTTACTTTCTTCCTTCGTTGTTTACTTTCTTTCTTTCTTTGTCCTTTTATTTCTTAACTTTCCATAATTTCTCCAGTTTTACTTCTTTCTATCTTTTATCCTTCTATTTTTCTTTCTTTCTTTCTTTCTTTCTTTTTTAACTTTCCACAATTTCTTCATTTTTATTTCTTTCTTTCTATTTTTTATACTTCCATTTTCTTTCTTCACTTTCCATAATTTCTTCATTTTTACTGCTTTCTTTCTTTCTTCACTTTCCATAATTTCTTCATTTTTACTGCTTTCTTTCTTTCTTTCTTTCCTTCCTTCCGTTTTCTTTCTTTCTTTCTCTCTTTCTATATTAACTTTCCATATTTTTTTTCATTTTTACTACTTTCTTCTTTATTTCTCTCTCTTTATCCTTCCATTTTTCTTTCTTAACTTTCCACAATTTCTTCATTTTTACTGCTTTCTTTATTTCTTTCTTTCCTTCTTTCTTTCTTTCTTTCTTTCTTTACTTTCCATATTCTTTTCGTTTTTACTACTTTCTTTCTTTCTTTCTTTCTTTCTTTCTTTTTATCCTTCCATTTTCTTGCTTTCTTTCTTAACTTTCCATAATTTCTTCATTTTTACTGCTTTCTTACTTTCTTTCTTTCTTTCTCCTTCCATTTTCTTTCTTTTTTTCTTAACTTTTCATTTCTTTATTTTTACTTCCTCCATTTCTTTCTTTCTTTTTTCTATCTTAACTTTTCATAATTTCTTAATTTTATTGCATTTTTCTTTCACCCTTTCTTTCTTTCTTTCCATTCAATCCTTCTATCTCTCTTCTCTTCCTTCTACTTTGTTCTCTATTTCTGTCTCTCCTTCATTAATTACTTATGCTTCTTCATATTCGCTAAATTTTGTATCCCACTAAACAGTTTTTGTGCAGAATATTTGAATCAAACTAAATTCTATAATAATCGAAACAGCTTGCGAGAATTGCTTCCTACCAACTGCTCCATAAACAAACAAAATTAAAAGAAATTTACACATTTAAACGGTTTAAATGTGTCAATATCTGCTAACTCACTCATGTCTTCTCTCTCCCACCTCACTTCCTCACTTCGTTAATTTACATATGTTTAACACGGACCATCAAAAATGTGTAAATTTTCTTTTCATTTTTTGTTTGGAAGTAAAGTCTGATGATCCGCAGTCCTTTAAAAGGGCTGTGGTGAAATAATTTATTACATGGAACCTTAAAGCGGTCTGTTTTTATTTAAATTATTTGCTGTGGATTTACATTGAGCTCTCAGGATTTTATCCTTCTCAGGTTTACCCATAGGGATTACCAAGTTTTTCATAAACTATATATATATATATATATATATATATATATATATATATATATATATATATATATATATATATCGGTCTTGTTTGTTTTCTTTATATCTTCGGTTGGATTCAACTTGAGTCCGGTATGTTCTTGTAGTTGGACCTTCTTCTAGCAGGAATAAACAGCACGTGTTTCTTATTCAACAGCACGTAAACTCACTCGATCCTCTACAGTTTTTTTATTCAGTTGTTCGTATTGCAGCGACCATTTTACCGATCGCACAGAGACAGTCACACAGCCGTCTCATGAGGCATTCTGAATCTTTGAGGCGACACTGGAGTGTTGTTTCCAAGAAAACCTTTTTATAGGAGTTTGACAGTTGTTCATGTATCACTCTTCTTCTCACCACGCCATCGATATCTCCCAGTAGCTGAAGTCTACACAGCTTGCTACTGGTGTCGTCGTTAATATCAACTTAAACAAATCATAGAACTTAAAATCTATTTCTTAGCATAGCCAGCTTCTATCTCAATCCTGATACAAATTTCGCTCAAAAAACAATGAATGTCTTTTAATAATAACATATCTATTCTGCAATGTAATCCCCTTCCTTCTCATTTGTGGTAGAAGTATTGGCCAAAAATTAAGTATTCGCAAAAATAAATAATGTCTATTCTTTAATTACACCTGATTTACTTGAATTATTTATATTATTCGGACAGATATCCTCATCAGCATTGCCATATTCACAATGTTTCGGCCGTTGTTCTCTTCTTCAGGTGATTGGAATTTCGAACCGGGGTAGATTGTTCTAGTCCCACATGCGATGCCGCTTTCGGATCTCGCAGTTATTTCCCTTTAACTCAACTCTCCAAATTTGTTTCATCAATGCTGTGTCCTTGTTTCATATACCCTTTAGATCTAGTTATTGGATCTAACTAACGAGCAATGTATCCTTGAGGACATCCGTGTATGAAATTTGGGGACTTATAAACCTATTGTCTCAGGAACTATTTTTACCAGTGCTCATATTGCATTTTTTGTTTTAATATTGCATTCTTTAGCTGAATTTATATTGTATTTTTTTCTGTTATTCATTGATTTCCTCAAACACTCCTTATTACTGATTTCTATATTATATTCATTTCTATGCTTAGTCGGCTCAGGAGATTTTTGAGGCCTAGAATATGTGCGGATTTCTTACATTTTCTTATTTTCTAGTCAATATTGATACAGATGAGGATAATTGCCCTAATAATGTAAATAATGCAAGTAATCATAATACCTCATCTCAGAGATATAGAGGCCGAAACGTTGGGAATATGGCAATGAAGATGAGTACAACAGTCCAAATAATGTAAATAATGCAAGTAATCATAATACCTCATCTCAGACATATAGAGACGGAAACGTTGTGAATATGGCAATGAAGATGAGGACAACAGTCAGAACAATGTAAATAATGCAAGTATTCATTATAACTCAAAGATATAGATAGATACTACTTTAATAGTAGAAACAAAAACTCACAAAACATTGCAAATTTAACGGAAAATATCAGGACTAGCAATTTAGTCCACTGCATAACCCCTCCCTGCTCACTTGTCATACAAGTGTAAGTTAAAAATATTTATTTTAATTACAGAAGATTATTAATAAAACACAAACCATACCGAAATGAACAAAATTAAATCAGTATTTGTAATAAGATTTTTTTTAATTGTGATATGCAACATTTAAATGATAGTCTGTGTACTCTTATCGTTGAAGGGTTTTAACTGTTCAATTTATCTTTCTCAGTTCGTCACAGTTGGCTCTCTGCGACTTAAGCAGTTTTTACTCTGATTTTGAAACTCAAGAATCTCTTCAACAACCATTACTCTCCACTTTTAGAGTATCTGTGACGATTCTATGAAACCATTTTGCACAGTTTGAGTAACGAAATGACTGCACTAAATTGCGAGCATTACCATGGCTGACTTGAAGGCTTTCATAAGGTTTTATATTAGTGATCTTTTACCTGTATTGAGCCAATCGCCAGATTTGACTTCATCCCAAGGCTATATGTCACGTTTGTCGTGTCTTAGACTGGAGGCGATTCTGGCTTAACTCATTTAAACAGATTTGCTGAATTTCACAAGTTTTCATTTCTTCAGTGTTTCAAACTTTTCAGTTTTAGTCTTACAATAGATTACTTGAAATAGTTTTCTTTTAGGACTTAAATTATTAGTATATTAGCAATTGAATTCGTTGCAATTTACACCATTATATTACTACTGAAAAAAAATCATTTGAAAGGGCTACATGGAAGAGAAATATTCTGTTAATGTTTGTCTTTCTTTCCTTTTCCTCTAAACGGTGGCTATATAATCCCGCCATGTCCCTTACATATTAGCAAACCACACACAATTCCTCTCTATGGAACAGGCTCCCTCGAGGTTGTTCTCTTATCACTACAATCTTAATCTGTTCAGAGTCATCTGTTAAAGTTTGTCTTTCTTTCCTTTTCCTCTAAACGGTGGCTATATAATCCCGCCATGTCCCTTACATATTAGCAAACCACACACAATTCCTCTCTATGGAACAGGCTCCCTCGAGGTTGTTCTCTTATCACTACAATCTTAATCTGTTCAGAGTCAACTGTTAAATTCACCTAGTAGCCATATAAACTACTTAACGTAACCCACTAACCTGAGGGATAACGGCCATTGTACAGAGCCAAACTTCATTCATTGGGTTGGTCCTGTGCTTTCTGCCGTATGATACGCTTAGATGTGGCAGAATATCAAAGCAATGGAGGCATCCAATCAGGATCGAACTCACTACTTAACTGTAATTCTTACATCAAAGCAAGTTTGCTAACCATAACACCACGTCCACGGGCTCATGTTCTCTACTTTATGTCCATCTCAAGGTCTGAACAATGCATTGTTATGTTAGCTTCGGAAATAATCATTTTGCATTGAATCAGAAACTGGAATTATAATTAATGTGTATACTGGCGTATCATGCGACCTTTAAAAACCTAATTTTAAGCTAAATTGAATACAGTAAATAGATGTATAGCTTGGTCAACAGCTAAGGCAACGACAACAGTACAAATGCTAATTTTGTATCTCGTGTATGAATCGACATCCTCAAAAATTAGGTCTTCAAAATTCGTATGATACGTAAATACGAGGGAGAACCCAGAAGTAACCGGAATTGTGTCATATCATTTTATTCATTTAGTGTTGCATGTTTATATTCTCATCATCATCAAAGTATTCTCCATTTTAAGCAATCCACCGCTCCAGACGTGTTTCCTACTGTTCAAGGCAGTCCTGGAACTCTTGTGAAGTTATGTTTTTTGATGACTTCGTCGTTTTCTTCTTAACCTCTTCCGCATCTGCAAAATGTTTTCCTTTGAGGACTTTGTTTATTCGGGGGAACAAAAAACGTCGCAGGGGGGCGAGATCGGGTTAAAAGGGAGGGTGGGGGTCATGCCATTCTTGGTCACAAACTGTCTCACACTCAAGGCGGTGTGCGCTGGTGCATTGTCGTGATGCAACCACCACCCTCCACTTTGTCACAGGTCAGGACGTTTTCGTCTCACCTTGTCTCGCAAACGCTTCAGGACTTCCAAGTAAAAAGCCTGGTTAACAGTTTGACCAGGAGAATTCCGTTCACATCAACGAAACAAGTCAGCATCGTCTTGACATTGGACTTCACTTGACGTGCTTTTTTTGGGTCGTGGTGACTTTGGATGCTTCCATTGACTTAATTGGTGCTTCGTTTCCGGGTCGTAGCCATAGCAACAGCTTCCGTCACCAGTGATGACCTTCGAAAAAATGGTCTGGATCAACTTCCAACTGCACTTTCAGTTTACGACAGGCATCCTTTCAACCATGGTAAAAATAGATGAAAAGGTGTGAAGCACTTCTAAACAAATGTGAACCACGGAGCTGTACGTCTTCCCACGATGACACCAGTTAGCACACTGATGATTGATTGAGGTTTGCCTCAAGTGGCATCTAGCAGTGGAAGCCTGAAGTACTACGGGCTTGTCACACAGAGAACGATTCCTGTTACTTTTGGATCCTCACTCGTATATAAGGTATATCGTGTTTTTAAATGTTATTGTTTCCATTGACAACCAAAAATAAATGAAGACCCACTACTAAATATTTTGAAAAACACCTTTATGTAGCCAAGAAACTACGAAACTTTGGGTACTATCTTAATCACATGGAATATTTCATAAATTTTACATTTAATTGTTACAGATTTCATTGCTTATGATTTCTGAAAAAAAAGGGGGAATTCTGATTTACACATATAAACTTTTTGACAAACTTACACATATAAATTTGCCGATCTTTTTCTGTGTGTACAATTTTGTGTTAGGGATGTGCGCGCGCTCGCACGTGTGTGTGTGTGTGTGTGTGTGTGAGAGAGAGAGAGAGAGAGAGAGAGAGAGAGAGAGAGAGAGAGAGAGAGAGCTCGTGTGTGTGTATGAACACCATTAGCAAACGAATTCAGTTTTGTATAGATAAAAGCAAGTCTATAACAAGCTTCGCGAGTTTGGCCTCGAAGCTCATTTGAGATCACTAGAGATCATTAAATGCACAGCGTGCCATTCCTAGCATCTGAATGAAATATTCTCTAACCGAATGGTATGAGCTATTGAGCTTTCTCTGTTGGCATTTAAATTACAGAACATCCATATTTGACCCAGGGAATGTGTGCACGACCTAAGTGGTTATACTGGGGGCTCACATTTAATAGGAAAGCACAAGAAATGAAAAATAATTGTAGCAAAATGAAGTGAGTAACTGGGATTTTTTCTGAGGTGCAAAAATGATTCTTTAAGGCACAGGTTATAAATCATTGTTGAAAGAGCCTAGTGAGTTTTAGATAAGAAAGGTGAGGGTTCGAGCTTTTGCTTTGGACATCTCGAAAACACTTGACACCGTTTGGCATACCGGTCTTCTTCATAAGTCGAAAGGTTATGGCATTCAGGACGAATTCTTTGTACTGGTTCAGTTTTTCTTATCAAATCGCGAACTGAAATTTGTTATGACAGCCGCACCTGGGTATGACGATAAACTACATCCGACAGCAAGGCCTCTGATCAGTAGGTTTTGAGGAGCGTGGAGCCACCTCTTAATTGTTGTTCTTCCCAGGTACACCGTAACCCGAGGTGGTAGCACCAGTTAGGGTCCCAGCTATGGGATAACAGATATCTCTCAAATTAGTATCAAAACACTCTGAAAGTATAAAAAATATGTTTATAGTAAAATACCAGCAACACATTTTTGGAATAAAATATTACAGCTTTATGTTTGACGTTCATCAAAAACCGTGTTTACAAATGTACGTCAATGAAACCTGATCTAGCAACTGTTTTCTTAGAAAGAATACTTATTCTATTTGCTGGCAGTATAACCCATTTTCGACCGGGTGTTTTATTACCGGGAATTTTCGCCGTTCAATTGGATCAGTTTAAAGTCAGCCCACTCGAAAATCAATATTACTAACAATATTTGGGTACAACTAAGTGACATCCCCAAATGGGGAGGGTTAACAACTTGAATAGGTGGAGCCTGAAAATGGCCGCTTTACGCTCTCAACCTTGCAAGGAAGGAACCTCTTCCGTGGACCGTTATAATAATAATATACGATATTTTTTTATTTATAATAATTTTTTTTAGAATTCTAATAATCTTTTACGATTAATTTCAACTCTCTAAATTGATTGTACGCCGTTTTTTTTATACATACATTATATTCTATCTTTGATTTTTGCAAAGTATAAAGAATAACTTTTTTCTTATTTTTCACCTTCAAGGTTGTAATTTTTTCCAGCCAATTTGGACTCAAAACTGGCACTGTAGAATTATCTATCAAAAAAAATAAATACATTGAAATCGGATGAAAAGTGTGGAAACGCATAAATAACATCCAATCACACACACACACATACACACACATATTTTAAGAATTATAGATATAGATACGAACCTATCCTAAAAAAAATTGTCGACATTAAATAAACCATTGAGGTTGATATACCATAAAACAAAATAACCCATACCTGAATGGCCAGGTAACTCTTCTAGATCTTTTTGCGTTAACTCCGGTGTTACCCCCGCTTTGTATCCTTGGGACTACGTCGTTCCTAATTTTCATCAATGAACTTCCTGATTGTATCAGTTCTCATTTCAGTATCTATGCTGATGACACAACTATTTACTCCTGTCTTAATGGTAACTTAGATCGGTTTGACAAGTTAAAACTGGCAGCTGATCACAGCCTGCTTTCAACTTGGGTAAGGAATGTCATGTTAATTTAAACGCGTCGAAAACGAAACTACTCTCTTTCAATCATCTGAGATGAAACTTTGTGCTTTTCATCTGTATGGCTGATGCTAACCTCTAGGAGATTAAAACATTGTGTATTCTCGGGTTAGCTTTAGCCTGGTGTCATGAATTGGAAAGATTATATTGTATGATTTGTTAGGTCAGCTGGTACGAATGTTGCTTCACTGTATTGTGCTAGACAACTGATCTATCTTACATATTGATAAGTCTACTAATCACCAATACTTTGAATACTGTCGCCACAGATGCTCCTGTTATATATTTCAGAGATTTTTAGATAAAATCCAAGGAGGAATCTACAATTATTCTTGGTTCTGAACTGGCATCTGGACTTCAGTCACTCCCTCCCACGACGTAATGTAGCTTCTCTGTGCGTTTTCTATAAATGATTGTAAGTGTTCTGATGAACTTGCCTCTTTGTTGGCTAGAATGATGAATTTAATCGCAGTACGAGTTTGGTGGCCAGGATCACACCATTTGAAGTGGTTGTAACCATAACTTCTATGTTAACAGTTTCCTTTATGGAATGTCTCGCTTGTTGATCTCTCATCCTGCTTCTTGCCTTCCACTAAACATTGATCCTCACAAAATTAAATGCAATGTTATTCGTTTTCTTCTGTTTTCTTAATTATTATTCTTTTATTGTTCTCTCTCTCCTTAAGTGTATTTTTCTAATGTACTCAAACACACACTAACCCTTTGCATCCCTATAAATTAATTGATTTGCTCGCGGTGAAATTAAAAATAATCAGTTACGAAATGCATGGTATTTCATTTTGATTAAGCTTGTGTCTTTGATATGCTACATTGCATGTAGACAATGTAATTTTTGGTAACTTAATGGTACGTAGGTTTAACGTTGGCAACAACACCATTTTCACCTACAAGGTTAATGGAAATTAAATAAAATGTCATTCTTAATTGAAATTTTTGATTTCTTTTATCGAAAGAACTATATTCATTCAAAATTTTTTTATGTTTTTTTTTTTTCTGTGTGTGTGAAACGCTGGTAAAATTAAACTTTTGTTATGTTCAAAATATATTTGCAAGAATTTTCTCAATGCTATGACAATTACCAGTTTTTTTTTTGTTTTTTTTTGTTGGTTTCTCTAAAGATGCAGTTAAAGAAACACGCTTATACATATTGCAACATACTCTTTTTTGTACTTCGACCATATAAAAAATAACAAAAATAAATAACAGATTCGTCAAACGTATATCACGGAAAACATAGCAATAAAATCCACTAAGATACAAGGAAATACTTAGAGTGAAATACATAGATCAATAAAAAAAAATAGTGTCCAAGGAGACAGAAGGTGACCATTGACGTTGAAGCTTTAAAAACAAATTGAAGGTTTTAGTTAGCATAGAACTTATGATTAAAACTAGCAATTTCAACAGGGAAAATATGCGACCTACTTTTCAGTCTAGTCCTGCGCGTAAATGTATGAATTCGAGATGCAATTTTCTGAATTGTCAGAAGAATTCGAGTAAAAATCTTGAAAGAAGTGACAAATGGAAGTTACGTTAAGGCGATGGGAAAGAGAATGATGCCGACGTGCCACGTCAGGACCGATAATGTTGCAGCTGTTTCTTTAAATATTATCAAGAATCTATAGATATAAATCTGAAGCAACAGAGCAGACCAGACCTGGCTGCAATATTCGATGCATGCACGAATGGTAAACTTACAAATGTATCCAATTCTGTCAATAAAAATGTCAGACATGACATATTAAACTGACATTTCTGGCAGAAGACTGAGCAGTTGATTCAATAAAATTATTCCACTCTCGTGAAAAACCAAATACCAAGAAGGCGTATTGAATTGCTCTTCTCTTTTTTTTTTTTTGTTTTTTGTTTTTTTTTTTTTAAGCAGGTTCACCCCAGTCAAAGCAGTAAATACACAAGGGGCTACTGGGCGTGGAAGAAATAGAAAACGCAATCATTACTAAGGACCAGGAACAAAAGAAGAATAATCAGGAGGAAGGCAGAATGCGATTGATATTGCATTAAAATTTTTGAAGATTAAAGTTGATAGGAAAGCATGGAGTCGGAAGAGAAAAGAAAATGTTAGCATGAACTTACGGTTTCATGTAACCAATACATCTGTAAATTAATGAGACCACGCCACAAAACTAGTACATCGCTTAAATTCCTATAGTCTAGGTATCATCGTGAAGAGCTCATCCAAAGATTTACCAGGATTGTATAATAGAAAAAGCACAGGTTTTGGTTTGGTTCAGTGGGTTGTTTTGCCGACAAGATTTTTATTGCTAGTAATATTTTTTATCTATCTATCTATCTATCTATCTATCTATCTATCTATCTATCTATCTCAGTATATATTGGTTTGGTTTGTTTTGTTTTACAGTATATCAAAATCAGTGGGTTATTTAATGCCGACAAGATTTTTATTGCTGGTAAATTTTTTCTGTCTATCTATCTATATATCTATCTAACTACATATTGGTTTGTTTTGTTTTACAACATATCAACTTCAGTGGGTTATGTAATGCCGACAAGATTTTTATTGCTGGTAATAATATTTTACAAAAATATATTGCTGGTAATATTTTACAAAAATATATTGCTGGTAATAATATTTATTTTTAAACTTTTATAATGGTTTGACCCCAGTTTGGGTGTTAGCTATTTGCCCATAGCTGAGACCCGAACAGAAGTTACCACCCCGAGTGAGGGTGAAACTGGGAACACGAGCAATTATTAAGGGGTAGTTCCATGTTCCTCAAACCTCCTGATCAGAGGCCTTGCTGTTGGATAGAGTTTATCGTCTTACCCAAGACGAGAAAAGAAACAGGGAAGCAAGTTTAAAGTGGTAGGAAAGGAACCAGATCAGGACCAACAATATTGCAGATAATTTGGATTTTATCAATAATCTCTATATATACAAAATTAACAAGCCAAACTTTGCCTGAGTTAACACTATACTGATAGTCGTTTTTTAGATAAGCCGCCTATTTGACCTTATTGAACTGATTCAACGTTCTATCGGGACAAGAGGTTAGCATCAGCCATGCTTAAGGTAGGCAAAACGTGTTCTTTACGCGGATTAATAGAGAACAGTTTAGTTTTAGAATTGATAAAATAATAAATCACTTCCTATTTCGGGTAAGAATAGATTGTATATCATTTTCGGGATCAGATGCCAATTTGATTGTCATTCAGTTATGTGCCATGCGTAATACACGCTTAGGAGATCATGTATCTTCCGATACATGACTGACGAGGCAGATTTTTTCCAACATTGGATTGCCATTTCTCTCTGCGGTAGACCAGTTGCCATCCAGGGCTATAGAACCCGGTTTGTACTACTATTTACTCATAGCTGAAGAGAGAAGAAGAGTATTCATACCTTTCCCAAGGGTATTAGCACGTAAGTAAATGTAATGGATTTGACTGGAATTGAACTCGGCTCTCCGATTTCTCAGTCCGAGCCGATATCCATTTCTCGTTTGATTGTATCGAAACGATTAGTTTAGCAACAGGAGTAAATAATTTTACCATCAACATTGATACAGAATTGTTAACTGGTGACATTAGGAAGGGTCAAACTATAAAGCCCTGGGCTCGCTTTCATTAATACAAAAATTATATTTGAGTCGCCATTCAGGACAACTTTCATTACGCGTTTTGATAAGAAAAATAGAATGAAATAAGAAAACGGTAAAAAAACACACCCAAACCATTTAACTTGTGAAAAAGACCATTATGCTAAATCCTAGCAAACGTCTTCAAAATAACTCAAGCAACAGACTGTCTTACTTATTTAAATCTTGAATGACTCTTTCAGTAGTAACACATCGGCTGTTGACGTAGATAAGAAACAACCGTATTATTTGTCTGAAAGAAAGCCCTGCGAGGCGAGACCTTTAGCCAAGTCAGACTTGATTAGAGCCTCTAGTACTCTGCCAAAGAGAGCTCAAGGACGAACAGGTTGATAGTTCGAAGGACTGACTGTTTACCACTCAGACACTTTTTGCACAGCTGCCTAGAATCGACTTTAACAACCTAAACTGCATGATTTTTACATCAACAAGCTTCAATTAAAATGATACGACATCAAAGACATACAAAAGAATGGAACAAGCACATAAATAATAAATTCTATAGAATCCAACAAGACATCAAAAGATACGTGCTTATAGAAAATACGAATCAGTACTATCTCCGACTCCGAAGAAGATTTACCAATATGTTATAGGTGTAATGAATGATATACTTCTAAAATGTATAGATTTAAGTCCGGTTTGTGAAAAGTATTATCAGGCAAACAATATGAATTAACTCGTCAACAGTATTGATCAAAAAAAAAAAATAACTAAATTCCTTTAAGGAAGATATATTAGAAAATTAAGCAATAATTAATCTTGACAAATAAGTGAAGAAACAAAATAAAATAATCTCTAACTGAACTTCATAGCAAAATCATGAACTTTAAATGAACTCCATTACAAAGACTATCGTTTTCAACTAAAGATACTAAAATGTTATTCACAAATTTAATACACAGACCATGATTTCCAGTCAAATCTGATTAGGCATGAAATGACCTAACGACGGTTAATCTCGCTTTAAACCTAACAATGAAATCAAATCAAATCCATCATGTTGTTCGGTAATCGTTGTTCTCAAAATTTCTGCAACAGGATATTCATTGCGCATAATCAAAAAAGTCGTATATATATATATATATATATATATATATATATATATATATATATATATATATATATATATATATAATGTAACCTAGTGTATTAATAAATGCGAAATATGTTTTTTTTCGCATGTGCTGTTTCAGGCTCATTGAAAATAATAAATTGTTTCTTAATATTTAAGATTCGTATTTTGCCAATGAGATGATCTGTTCCGTTTGTTATTGATTTGTAGTAATAGAAAAACGAATCTTTCTCTACACTAGGCATATCAAAAACGAGTCATTTTCTTGGCTAAAGCTCATGGGTACACTGATATACGGGATTGAACAAAACATCTTTCTCACAATTTTTGAGAGAACATTCTATTATGTCACTAAGTCTGATTCCAATCACTTTGAATTTTCGTGTTTTTCTCTCTTTCTTGCTTCATTTCTTTTGTGAGATTCTTTCATCATTGTTTTGTGTTGAAATGTTCATTCTTATTCCACGGTTCTATTCAGTTCTGTTATTTCAAAGGTTTCTTTAATTTTTTTACTTCGTTCTTTCTTGAATGCTTCTCCTTTCTTTCGAAACAATGTTTCTGCATTTTATTCTGAGTTGAAAAATAATATTCTTTTCATGTTTTTTTCGGATTATTCGTCTTTTTGCTTCTTTTTTCTTTTGTCAATTATACCTATATTATTTCCTTCCTTCCTTCCTTCCTTCCTTCCTTCCTTCCTTTCTTTCTTTCTTTCTTTCTTTCTTTCTTTCTTGCTTCATCTCTTCCTGCCTTCCTCAAGTTCTTGCCTCTCTTGCTTTCATCATTCTGGTTCAAAAGTAATTATCTTGATTTTTCCCTCATTTCTATCCATTTTGAGTTTGCCAGTCTTTTTTTTCCCTTCTTTCTTTCTTTTTCCTTTGTACACTATTTCTACTTTCTGTCCTTGTCTCCTTCTTTCTTTTATGTCTGCTTTCTTTATTTCGTCTCTGATATATGTTTTTATTCCGCTTCCTTCGCAATCGAAACGGGAAGTTTCATTTATTTGACATAACACCAGGGCATATTATGTTACTTTTAATTTATTTTAATAAAAAATTTGTTGTTGTTGTTCGTCGTCGTCGTCTTCTTCTTCTTCTTCTTCTTCTTCTTCTTCTTCGTATTATTATTATTCGTATTATTATTAATAATAATAATAATAATAATAATAGTAAATATATACTTCGGCAGAAATACATCCACCATATACCTCCTTGACCTTCCACACAATAGTATGACATTAGTAGCAATGGTGTCTTCTACTAGTTAATGCCTTACCATTATGTATGACGAGTTTAGGGGAGCTATATGTGACAGCTATTTCTGCTGTACATTGTATTACATGTTCTGTTTGTTCACATTACATTTTTCCAGTATGTTCTTTCTGTCTCTTCAGCAACCACTTTCCTCTATTTCATCTTTGTCTCTTTCCTTTGTTGCTTCACATTTTGCCTCAGTCAATATATGATTTGTTTTTCTTTCTGTCTTCCTTCCCTCCTTTCTTTCTTCTTTCCTTTTTCTTCTTTCTTTCCTTCTTTCTTTCTTTCTTTTTTCCATCTTTCTTTCTTTCTCTCTTTCTTTCTTTCTTTCTTTCTTAATTTTATACACATAGTCGTTTTGAATAGTTTATTTCCTTCTTTTTTTTTACATCGGATGTCGTATCCTACAGTTTTATGAAGGTTATCTTTCTTCCGACAGAAATTACGTCATTTCCAATTTTACGTATCAGCATCTTTTTTCAGATATTTTGTTTTCAGTAATTAGTCCATTTTTTCTTTACAGCTATTTTTAAAACATTTTTTCATTCACTTTCTATTCCATGATTATATCTTGCCATATTCTCTTTTAGGCTTCCTTTCATAAATGTCTTCTGTATAGTATTTTTTTCGGTTCGTTCTACTTCACTTACATTCTTTTATATTTTTGTATATTCACCACTTTACAATTAATATCTTTTTAAATCATTTCAAATCAGCAGTCGGCGACTTCCTCTTTTAATATTTAATTTATTGATGTCACTCGTCTTTCTTTTCTCATCTGCGCTTTTGCATCTCTTATAGATTCGTTCTTCTTCTGAACAGCAAAAACGTCTTAGCCAAATAACGTAGCATGGCGAGATTACACATGAGATTTGGAGGAATGCGCCAAATGATGGATACGACAAATATTTTCTTTGTTTCAGCTTCACAGCAATACATGTATTTTTCTATCAATTCCTTTCGTTCATTGTTCATCTTTGTGACAGCAAAGAAATTTTAAGAAAATTACACCAGACACGAGACTAAAAAGCTCACACTTGGGAAAAGAAAAAAACGCAAAATTTGTAAAACTCATGCAAACACATTTACACCTATGTGTAAGCGGATCAATAGAGACAAATACAAACGACAAATACACATAGACACATATATGCATGTTTTTCATATATATATATATATATATATATATATATATATATATATATATATATGTATGTGTGTGTGTGTGTGTATATATATATATATATATATATATATATATATATATATATATATATATATATATATATAAAACAGGTTTATAGCTTATACGTATTTATATGTATATAATAAAGTTATGCATGCTCATATACGAATATATGCATATATAGAAGGGAGTGTGTAGATAGATTGATAGATAGATAGATAGATAGATATAGATAGATAGAAAGGGGTAGTTACTTGTCTAGAAACATATAGAAAATTATGCGTCTCCGTATACACACACATATATATATAGAGAGAGAGTGATGGATAAATTTTCGTCTTAATTACGCAAAAATGAAAATAACATTGACCTCTCATTTTAAGTCATATGCTTACCAAAATTGCACAAAAATGTCGTGAAGTACTAAAGAGTAAATTTATTCAAGAAAATCGCTATTGACTTCAACCATGGCCCCAGAAGACATCGGAATCTTCTGCAACTATTCTGAACGATTTCCTTGTTCACGTTCTTGAATGCTGTCATAATCTTTGACTTCAGTTCATCTTTGGAGTTTTGTTGCTCTTTCGCTCAACTGCGCCCCACACATAATAATCTATGTGGTTGTAATCTGAGAAGTTAGATGGCCACAAGTCAGGAGTGATGTGCTCTCACAGCTATCTGCATGCTTGAATGGTATGGTACAGAACCCGAGTGCCAGATATATAGTCTCTTATTCTCTTGATTTAGGGCAACACTACCTCCTTATGTCTCTTATGTCTGAGGCCCTGTGGAAAGATGTATGGAGGTATAACATAGCCACCACTAGTAATCACTCCAAACGCCATGATGTTGTCTAGATACATCATACAACTCTTAGACACACACACACACACACACACACACACACACATATATATATATATATATATATATATATATATATTATGATGTATATATGCGAAATTGCTTCTGCATTGGAGTCCGTTTTGATATGCTGAGATAAAATGTACACGTATTTATTCATTTATATATATATATATATATATATATATATATATATATATATATACACACACACATTTCCCTTTTTACCTATAGCTATAGGGATTACGCCACCGTGCCTCCTATTATATATATATATATATATATATATATATATATATATATATGCATGTTCAATTAAAAACGACAGACAGGGTGCTACGGTCAAGCTTTTCATTTAATTTTTTTTTTTGTGTTCTAACAAGAGGTTTCTTACTGGACAAAGACTGTGTAACAAGTGTCCAAACGTTTTATTTTTCCGAGCGCTTTCGGCTATACTTTTAGACATTATCAAGGATGATTCGATGTTCCAGCTTAATTGAGTGTGGGCGTTCTGTGTATATCTTAGTGTGTGGTAGGGATGTTTTGAATTTCCGAATACGGTTAGCACATTGTAGCTTTGTTCTTAGTTCAATTTGTTAATACTTGCCTTTTTTCTTTCTTATTAATGATTCCATTATTTTTAATCTTTTTTGCAGGTGGATGCAGTTAACATAATTTCTTTTTTTTTAAATTTAATTTTTAATCTAAATTTTTTAATTTCTTATTTTTTGTTTTCTACAATTATGTTTCTAATGGAGTCTGTTAAATTTGTGTGTGTGTTTAAATGGGTTCTAATGAAGCTGTGATCAGATAGGTGTAACGTAAGACGTCTGGATAAGCATGTGGTTGTGTAACCGATGTAATTATTTATGAATCTGGTTTGATCAGGAACACAGTTCGATAAGGGGAATTTGAACTCATAGATAATGTTGATTTTTTGTAATTTTGATTTAGGTGGTGTGTTGTTATTTTTAAAACATATAACGCAGGCACTCAAGTAAGCGGACAAATTGAATCATCCTTGATAATGGCTAAAGGTATAGCCGAAAGCGCTCAGAAATATATAACATTTGGACAGTTCTTACACACCCTTTGTCCAGAAAAGAAAGCTCTTGTTCTAACACAAGAAAAATTAACTAAAATCTTAACCGTAGCACCTTGTCTATCGTTTTTAATGAAACATGGTATAAACGAAGGATTGCTGCCTAAATATACAACTATATATATATATATATATATATATATATATATATATAATGTTTTTTACGTATTTTAAAAAGATACAACTTATTTAAATAAATGGTCTATTTTTTTTAATTCAGGCCGGTAAATGTAATTAATACTGGTTATTCAAAAAACAGGATTTTCTTAAATAATTTGCATCTTACGTAGAAACAGAAAATATATTATATATATATAATTGAATACATTATTATTTTATAAATATATTCGTATGCATGTGTATGTGTGTGTGTGTTTAGGATTTATTTGATTTTGATCTAAAATTTTATCTGCATAATGATTGATCCTATGCATTTAACTAGAAATTATCTGACGCTCACAAGACATATTGAAATCAAAAGACTTGAATGCTACAATATATATACCTATCTAATAAATATGAGTAAATGGATGACAGAACAGTGTGTGGGAACATAGTAAAAGAACTAGAAAGGATAGAAAGTAGTCGACAACATCCTGAAAGGACACGGCCCAAATAAGAAGTACCATTTTGATATCTTGTAAGCGAAATTATTTTTTATTCCAATGCTACAGGCTTAAAGATGTGTTGCTAGACAATCTCTATGGCAGAAGCCTATTCAGACAAGTTTGTGTTTGGTCAACAACCACAGAGCCCACCTTTGGTTTTTACCGTAATTATTCTGAGCCTACCTTATTTACAATGAGATCAAATAACCTGTTATTGCCAGAACTTTGAATGAGGTGAGTAAGACATAGACATATTGGACAAATACGTTGAGTGATTTTAAAGATTTTTACAAAGCTAATGCACAGTCTCATTAGATATCATATAGAAATCTCCTTCCTGTCAAACTGAACATGATGGAATTGGGAATAGAATATTTACGGTCGGATATCAAACGTTCTAGCTAGTCGGGAATTATATATGCGTATATCACATATATGGATAGATGATATATGTTCACGTACACAGATACAACTATACACACATACATGCACAATTTCATATATATATATTTAATTCATATATATATATATATATATATATATAGCGAATATATACACGGATCACACATACGTACACACACGAACACTACACACCATACGATTCTGTGCATATATATATATATATATATATATATATATATATATATATATATATATATATATATATATATATATATATATATATATATATATATATATATATGAATTTGTGCATGTATGTATGTATATGTGTGTATATTCAGTCGGGTTTCGATCCGAGCTAGAGGCAACTTTTGAAACAGTCTGTTCAGAATGACGTTATATATATATATATATGTATATATATATATATATATATACTAGTCCCTTATAGTATATATATATATATATATATATATATATATATATATATATATATATGGAAAAGAAATATTTGTACACATATTAGCAAAAGAAAAATGCTTATTATGTAGATATGTCTTAAAAAAGATACAGGGTCACAAAAAGATAAGAATAAAAGCCTACATCCTCCCCCGCTTTATGTAACCAATTCGAATTGATTTATTAACCTTTTACAGAGGAATATTTGTCCAAGAAAATTGGGATTATTACTACACAAAAAAAGACAATGGTTAAAAATCGGAAAACATAAAGAAAATTAATTCCGTTTTCAAATTTCTCTCGTTGGAACAACTATATCCTTTTCTCTCTCTCTCTCTCTCTCTATATATATATATATATATATATATATATATATATATATATATATATATATATATATATATATATATATATATATATATATATATATAATATCTGTGTGTGTGAATATCTTTAAGCATATTCATTATACGCATAAACCTATATGGAATTTGCTTTAATACATCAATACTGAAAGGGGCCAGGCACATGGTAAATTGTTTCTAAACTTGATAACAAGACTGATGCAGCGACGCGAGGTTCATGCGATAATTCTGTTTGGATAGATATGCACATCTGGTCATTTAGTGATAAGGAGATTTTAAAAATGCAGAAAATATCTTCTGGTACATGTACGAAGTGAAAATATTTCGTGTTTATCATGTGTTTAATTCATATA